ACTTTGGGAAGAGAAATTAGTAAGGCTCCTAAACCCTGAACCCTAAACCAACCCTGAACCCTCAAGCCTAAACCAACCCTCATCCCTGAACCCTAAACCAACCCTAAATCCTGAACCCTGAACCAACCCTAAACCCTAAACCAGCCCTAAACTCTAAACCCTAAACCAACCAAAGACCCTAAACCCTAAACCAGCCCTGAACCCTTAGTTAGGAGAGACGTTGCTCTCGAGGCTTCTCTCTCTGAGGCTCCGGGCCATTGCGCTCATGGTCATGCTACCTCACAGCTGAGACTGTCACTAGACTCCTTAAGCTAGAGCTTACTATATAAGGCTTCCTTTAAAGGGGGTACTATAAGGGATTTATAAGGGTACTATAATACGTAAACTAGGGTTCATGCCTTACGATACATACTACCTCAAAGCTGAGAATAAAGGTACTATAATACGTAAACTAGGGTTCATGCCTTACGGTACATACTACCTCAAAGCTGAGACTACTCCGTAAACTAGGGCTCATGCCGTAGGGTACAACTTCCTCGGTGAAGGGTCTAGGAACATCTCGCCAAACCGTACATGAGCTACGCCTTCACATTCCTAGACTTGGGCTGTCATCGGCTCTTCTGCACGCTCCCTCTCGATCCTCCATGCTCAGCTTAGGGTTCAGAGTTTGGGTCTTGAGTTTGGGGCTGAACTCTTCTAGATTGGATCACAAAATTCGAAAAAGTTAGCTGCGAACCCTCAACCCCTTCAACCTCTGACAAAGGGGGCCTTTCTTCACAATCCTGAAATCCAAGCTCCACATGGCAAAACCGATAGGCCGTGGCTAAACCTGACGACCTAAAAGCGAAGTCCTGAAACCCTGTCGCCATTTCCAACATCTTCACATGCCGCTAAGCCCCGCCTGAACCCTAAACATTCAAGCCTGAAAACTGAACCCCAGAGGCCCCAAAGTAGTTCCTTTTTGGGACTTACCCTCTAGGATTCTACATATGAACCCCAAAAAGGAGCTACTTTGGGGCCTTAGGGTAAAGCCTAAAGCCTTGAAAGCCTAGACACTGAAGCACGAGGCCCAAAAGCCTGATCCGGGAAAGTCCTACTTTCCACCACCTCGGCTCACTCAACCCCAGCCAATACACCCCAAGACCCTGTAACCCAAATCGCCCAAAAAAGCGCGAAACAGAACTCTCCGAAAGGAATCCCCAACAAGGCCCGGGCATTGTTTGAACTCCCAGGGATCCTTGAAAGGGTGGAACCTCGGAGAAGACTTGAAACAGGCTGACTGGTTTAGGGTTTAGGGTTTAGGGGTTTAGGGTTTAGGGTTTTGGGTTTAGGGTTTGAAACAAGCTGACTGGTACTCCAAAACCCGACAAACAGATACGCACAGGCATAGGTATGAATACGATAATACAAACACGCAGATGTGTCTGTAAATGTGTATGTGTGAGCATATGCATGTATTCATGCATGTGCTTGTGTTCGTATGTACGTATGTATGTATGCAGGTATGCATGTATGCATATATGCATGTATGTGTGTATGTACTTGTGTGTACGTACATGTGTGTATGTGTAAATATATATATATATATATATATATACATATATATATATATATAGACATACATGTGTATGTGTATGTGTATGTATATCCGTGTAGATATGTATATGTACATGCATGTACGTATGTATATGTATGTATACCTGTTTCTGCACAAAAATACCAAAACAGGTCTACTTGCCCAGCCCTCCGTGCTTGCCGCGGAACGCCACGGTGTGTGGATCGGTGCAGGATCTGCCAGGGACGGATTTCCAGACCCGAAGCTCGGCTCGGGCTTTCGGGGTGTGGGGTTCAGAGGTTTGGGCTAAGGGGTTCAGGGTCCTGGGGTTCGGGCTTTAGGATGTATAGGGTTTTCTTGGTTTAGGGGTTCAGGGTTCGGGGGTTCATAGGTTTAGGCTGTAAGGTAGGGGAAACCTTACATGCTAAACCCTGTCAACGCCAAGCCCTACGCATCTCAAGCTGTGATACCTACACCTTGCACTCGAAACTCGCAAACCCAGGCGCAAACCTCTGTCAAACCTGTAGATGCGATGGGTTGCGTCCGATCTTCGAAAGTCTGAGATTTCTCGATGAACCCTGCGGTTTAGGCAGCTCGGCGTCTGGGGTCTTCGGATCTGGGAGTGCGGGGGTGGTTCGGGTTGGGGCTTAGGGTCTAGGGTTGCTTTCTGAACGCCTTTTCCGTCAGCCCGAAGGTCTCCGGAAGGCTTAGTGCAAGCGAGAGGGTCTAGGGTTTGGAGTTTCCCTGCGTGTTGCGTCGTCCTCAGCACTCTTGGTGGTTTAGGATTGGGGTTGAGTTTGGGGGAAATGGGATCATGTACCAGTCCCGTTTCTGAGGGGTGGAATTCTATCACCGGGAAAACTCTTTGGCTTCAAGGATTAGCGCGTGAATGAAAGTCGTTTGCGGTGAACTTGCTTTCTAGGTTTAGACATTGTCAGGACCCGTGCAACATGCCTACAACAACGTCCAACCCGAGCCTAAACCCAAAGTGCGAAAAACTGACACCGCCATGGCGCCTCCAATTCGCGAGCTGTGGCTTGCAGTGATCCTCCTGCGATCCAAAACTTGGATCAAAAGCTTCGGGGCCCAAGGTTGAGAGGCTTCATCAAAGACCTTTCAAGGTGACGGTAACAGAACTCTTCTTTTCCCCGAAAGCGTCTAAGGCGGGTAGACTAAAGAGTACTTGGGGGGTGCGCGCGGTGGCACTAAGCTTTTACTCTTGCAGGCTCAGCTTGAAGCTTCAGAATGAGCCACAATGTAGGGCTTAGGGTTTAGGGTTCATGTGCCTAAAACCTAAACCCTAAACCCTAAACGCTTAAGGCAGTTTTGAACGAAGGGTGACTTCAAATCTTTCAACACCATGAACCGGGCTCTTGCACCTCAAGAAGACTGCCTGACAGCCTAAGCCCTCAACCACCAAGGCCCTCAACCCGGAACTTCGTTCCTGAGCTGCTAAAACTCCCCACTCCAAGGATCATGGGACTTACTAACCAGGGTTATAACTAGGGTAACTATACTTATAACTACTTATAACCCCAATTAAGGTACTTATAACCTTACTTACGAAGTCCCATGATCCTCCAAGCACCCCCGCCTGCAGAAGGGTCTTTACCATCACTCGCTTGGCCTGGGGCGACTCGGGCTTCATGGCCCCATGATGAACTACTGTCACAGCAGCCTTCAGAGTTTTGGGTTATGTGGACTCAGGGTGCAGCAATGAAAGCAGGTGTCTCAAAGCACCCTACACTCCAAAACAAGGTTTAGGATTCTTGGGGCTGCGGGTTCGAGTTTGTCTCTCACAACGCCCTACCGTAAACCCTGCAAGGAATTCTGTTCGGAGCCAGGTTTTAAGCTCCATCGGTCAGGGCGTTAGCGCTTTTGGGATCCTTATTGCAGAGACGTTCTGCTGGCCCACTTTCATCCTGACGGGACCCTTGCAACATGGCACCCCGGACCTGAGTTTCGCGCGCTGAAGGCTTTGGGGGTCCGAGTTCGGAGGACGAGTGTCAGGGTTTAGGGTTTAGGGTTTAGGGTTTAGGGTTTAGGGTCTAGGGAATCTGCTCCCGTCAATAACCATTCTGCAGAATTCCCCGATGTCTGTGGTGGCATCCTTCCAGTTTCTCGAAGTCTGTCGTTCGTTTGTGATGAACCTGGACCTTGCAGGTCTTATCATCAAAGACATCACGGTACGGCGCATCATCAGCATCATGGGGCTTCCGTTTCACTACCCGAAGCTGTAGATACAACCGCTACGCCCCCTTTCGCATTCATCGGATACTGTGACGTAGCTAGATTGGAGCAACACCAGGGTTCTCGGGGACATTCTTACCCAAAAGCCAGGAACACACCTAGCGAACACAAAACGAACTCTAAAACCCGACCACTTGGAGGATCATGGGACTTAGTAAGTAGGGTTATAAGTAGCTTGGTTGGTGTTATATGTATAGTTACCCTAATCATAACCCTAGTTACTAAGTCCCATGATCCTTTAAGCAAGCTCTGAGACACTGAAAGAAGGCAGGTCCTAGCTGCCAGGCTTCGATTCAGGCTTACGGTTGCAGAGTTTGGGGCGTAGTTCGGACCTTTAGATGCTCCGGGGTGAGTGGTGGTCTCGGTTTAGGGTTTAGGGTTTAGGGTTTAGGGGGATTTTGGGTGTCAGAGTTTAGGGTTTAGGATTTAGGGTTGTCTGCTCTTCGATATCCGGGCATCGGGCATTGGTGAAGTCTGTGAGGCACTGGTCCACCCAAATGTCCTCGCGGAGGTGCGCTGTTGGAATCTACTTGGGGTTGGGAGCTTAGGACTGTGGGTGAAACTGTATATATCTGTATATCAAAATATATATACATACCTACACAGGGAGAGAGAGGGAGGCAGACCCAAATGTAACCAGACGTCTGTATACAATTTTAACATATAAGTAAGTCCATATAAATATATATATATATATACGAGTATATATATATATATATATATATGTATGTACATGGGCATATCAGGGGGTGTGGTTCAGCTCTTGAGGTCGCAGGAGCTTGGGTGGCCTCAGAGCTTCGGGCTGGGCCACAGAAACATAAAACAGGAGCCTCTGTTAGAAGCTGCCCCCACCCTGTAATAGTGACTATAAGGATTATATATGATTATATTAGGGCCCTATTATATTCCTATTATACCACTATTACAGGGTGGGGGCAGCTTCTAAAGCCTATGTGTCTAAGAGCTCCCCGGTTCCTCTGAGGGTACTTTTTTGGGGTTCCATTATAAGGTCCCTTTCAGGGCTACTGTAGAGTGCTGTAATGGGGTCCCCTTTACGGGACTTATAAGGTTTTATGAAGTTGCGGATGTGGAGCTGAAGGCTGACGGCTCTATCGGAGTTCCTACGTGGGTTTTGCAAGGGTTGCTTTAAGGGACCCGTGTGGGTGTCTTGCAAGGATGGTCTAGGGCTTGAGATCTAGTCGTACGGTCTTTGTGCAACCTTGCGCGTTTTCAAAAGGCTTCACAAGGGCTTCTGCACATCAGAATCTACTAGCGTCCCTTGTTTTCTGAGACTCCATAATATGAATCACTTTCCTTGAAACACCGCAGCACGCACGCTCCTCCCCCCACCATTGGATGCAAGGGCCGTTGCAGTACTTGGTCTGTTCCCACACCTCTTTCGGAGCTTGGTTTATGCTCGGGGTTTAGGGTTTAGTGCCACGCGCTTAAATAAAGCACAGAATCCGGAGAATTAGAAACAAGTTTGGCACACACTACAGTCTACTTGCGTAGGCACTGCAAAGGTAGGTATTGGTAATTGTTCACACCTAGAAGTAAACCGTTCTTTCGGAAATTTCCATGAGGCCTACGGTTTTGCGTTGAGGGTTTGCACTCCTGTCGGATACAATTCTTCTGAGATGCATTATTCACACTACAATAGCAAAAGCGCTGCTAGCCATCGGGTTCAAGTATCTTTTTGAGGGCTTGAAGTCGTAAGGGCTCGGAATATGGGAGTGTCAGATCACGCAGCGCTCCCTCACTGCCGTGTGAAATCATGGCAAGTTCCTTGCCGAGCTCAATACCCCACCGAATTCCATGAATTTCAGTAAGCTTCCTGAGAGCAATCATAGCAAGAAGCCCCATAGACTCCCAAAGCCTTAATTCCTGGACCCCTCCTCCGCCCACTCCCGCCAAAGCCAACTCCTTTAGTGCCAGCCCTACGTCTTGTTCCCCTGTTTAGGGTTTAGGGTTCAGGGTTTAGGGTTTAGGGGTTTAGTTTAGGGTTCAGGGTTCAGGGTTTAGGGTTCAGGGTTTAGGGTTTAGGGTTGAGGGTTCAGGGGTTCAGGGTTTAGGGCTCAAAGCTTTAGGGTTTCGAGTTCTTGTCGGCCTAAAATGCATGCAAGCTTTGCTCTTCCTTGAAACTAAACTCTACTAAAACCAGTTAAACGCTATTCTCACGAACTGCCAAAAGTATCTCCTCATATACATGCCGATGTGTGTGTGTGTGTGCTCAAGTTTATTTATACACACCCTCCCTTCGAGTTGCATCAAAATTGTCTTTGCAAGAACAGCCTGAGCTTTCTGAAGAAGCTTTCCGAAGGTCAGCAACCAGCCCCAGCCGGGGCCCCGGACGCCAGTGCAATTGTCACTGCACTCCTTTCCGGGCTCGGGGATTCTCGGGTTCCATCATCCTTTGAGCTCTTTGGGATTTTTCGTTTGCTGCATCGATTATAAGTACAGCTTCTATACTTATGGTGGTGCTAGTGCTCGAGCTAGTCTTTGTGCTACTACTGCTAGTGGTTATGCCGTGGTAGTAATAGCAGGAGCAGTAGCTCAAGCACAGTAGTGGCAGTCGTCGTCGTAGTAGTAGCAGTAGTTGTTGTTGTTCTTGTTCTTGTTGTACTGGTAGTACTACTATTACTTGCAGTACTAGTGGCACTAGTACTGCCAGTAGTACTGATGTAGGTCGTAGTACTAGGTAGTAGTAGTCGTCGTATCAGAAATACTTGTAGAAGCTGCAGTAGTGCACAGATGTTGGTACGTAGACATACATCGCATGCTGGCCTGTGCGACCACCTCGACGCATAAGCCCCCACAACTTCAATCCAGGACCAAGGAGAAGCTCTGCGGGCCTGCTGATCGTAGGCTGCTTTGCAACGCTGCGCAGCACGACCTTTGCACAGAGCTGAAGTGGCCCGAGATCTAGTTGGGGCTTCGCACAACAGGGTCTTGGGGCTAAAGTGCTTGAGGCTTTTGTGTTTGTTTCTGGGTTTTCGAATTGCGGCAGATCCGTTAGCCCCAAGTCCTAAACCATCACCACAATAAGTGACCCCAGGATGAAGCCCTAAGATGAACCCTAGGAGTGGTTCTAATGGCAACCCTAACACCCGACGGAGCAGCACAACCAGAGATACCGCTGGGGTGATGAGTCGTCCTCGTAAAATGCATGGTGTCGTGAGGATTGAGATGCTCCAAGTTTGTTGCAGATATTCGGCGACCCTGCAGCCACTGATTACACCGGAGCCCCAGAGACCAGGCATCCGATCAAACTTCCATCTTCCCCTTGCCGCAAACACCCGCAGAACTCTGACAGAATCCGTAGATCGCGCTTTAAGAAAGACTTGGGCTTAGGCTTAGGACTTATGCTGTTGGGAGCTTCCTGATGGAACCCTTTAGGTCAGACAACCTCTTGCACCCCAACAGCCACAAACAATGAAACTGGAAAGCCAAATCCGAGAGCCTAAACACCACTTAAAGGATCATGGGACTTAGTAACTAGGGTTCCTTAAAGGGATCCTTAATGGGATCTATAGGGGTTCCTTAAAGGGATCTATAGGGTTTAGGGTTTAGGGTCTACTTAAAGGATCATGAGACTTAGTAACTAGGGTTATAATTAGGGTAACTATACTTATAGCTACTTATAACTCCAATCAAGGTACTTATAACCTTACTTACTAAGTCCCCGGATCCTCCAAGCAGATCTTCTTTACTACCGGGCTCCGCACCCACAGAAATGAAGGCGTTCTTGGAAAAGACTTCCTTAGTCAGTGGCCGTCCTGTTCTGCAAGTTCCAACATACCTTCTCCGGTTCGTTTAAGGGCTCCTTTGAAGGCTCGCCTAAGGGATCCAAAATGTTTTTATACGCAATGACCAGGAATTTCCAGAAACGGGTCATCATGGAATTGGATCTCCGAAAGATTTAGACGGCCAGACATTGCTCTAAACCTCTAATTGTCTAGGGTTGAGGGTTTTGAGTTCAAGAGAGGTTACTTGTTCCATTCTGGGCTCCGTTTTCTCCCGGGCTTCCGCGTCCTGCAGCCCCAGGCGCTTTCACTGAAGTATCTTGCATCCCAAACCCCTGAACTCAAACCACAACCCAAAACCCGAACCTTCCTTAAACCTGGCACCTTCGGCCTTGAACATGAACGCTCAATCCTCAAAGGTGCAAAAATTCTGAGCCTCGCCAAAAGGATCCAAGAGAAGCATCAAAACTTAAAGCCCCAACCCTAAAACCCTGGCCCCTAAGCCTAAACCCCTAACCCTACACCCTAAAACCCTAGAACCCTAAAACCCTAAACCCTAAACCCTAAAACCCCTTTTGCAACCCTCATGGCAACCCTAAACTGCCTTCAAGCCAAGACGGGTTGCGATGGGGCCGTGGAGCCCCTCCTCGCAGTTGTTGAAATAGATGCCATCGCCGCCAATCTCGGGTTCTGGATTTAAGGTTTGGAGTTCAGATTTCAGGGTTTAGGGCTTAGGAATTTTTGTTGATTGGTGTTTACGGTTTAGCGTCTAGGGTTTCGGGTTAAGGGTTTCGGGTTCGGGGTCTAGGGTTTAGGGTTTAGGATCTTTTGAAATCGGTGTTTACGGTTTAGGGTTTCGGGTTTAAGGTTTCGGGTTCGGGGTCTAGGGTTGAGGGTTTCGGGGGAAGTGCAGGAGGGGAGTTTCCATCTGCAACGGGCCTGGGTTTGGGGCTTCGGGGGATTGGAGGAAGGGATTGTGACTGTTCCGCCTCCTTGGAAAGGAGAAAGTGTAGTCATGCAAATGGCGCTAACGGTGATAGTCACAAGAACACAGGAGCCATGACAACGACCCGAAGAAAGATCAGCATCCCCAACATCACCCGCCCAACGGACCCAAACACATGGGAGTTTCTGAAAATGGGGGACAGTAGGATCCTTATTATAAGGACCCCCAGATAAGGTACCCCTAATGTTCGGAAACTCCCAAATTACAAAGAAGCTTGCATTGCAGTCCAAGCCGCTCCCCAGCTGTGCTCCCGCCTTGCGATGGCGTTCGCAAGTAGTGTTATGGGTGTTGTTCAGGACGGACCCGCTGAAACTTTGAACAAGGCTTGTGTACACTGAATACGTCTCTGGAGTATTCGGATCGATCACACTCATCATATCATGATCCTTATTGAAGGCGGGGGTAGGGGGGTTCATCGGGCAATCAAAAAACAAAACAGCCCAAGAGGCAGGTAGTGTCGCAGGCGTGTGGGCGCCCACACGGTGTCGGGGTCGACCTCCGACATGTGGAGACGGACGTTCAGGGTCTAAGGGTTCGGGGGTCGAACGTTTAGGGATTGGTTTCGGACTTGTAGAGGCCCAAACCTGGTAAGCAGACTTACCTTTGGTTAGTAGGGAATGGAGGAATGGGGTACAATTTCAAACTACTATTACTACCACTCTTCCTTCCCTACTAACCAAAGGTAAGTAGCAGGAACAGCGGAACGTAGCTAATGGGGCTGTGTCTTGTGGTACTTCAAAGAGAAACTACGGCCTAACTTTTGAAGCACCAAACCCGGAACCCCCAGCAAACTCGAACCCCAATCCTTGGAAGCCTCAAAAAAATTGAGTGTATGTTTAGGCTTTAAAGTTGCTCTTGGGGCCTCAAGTTTGGTTTTCAACGTTTCAAGTTTGCAAAAGGCAAAACCTGAGCCCCGGATCCTGCCAAAAAACCTGCAAAGCGAAGACTTCCGTCGTGCCTTGACTAGCCATTCGGCGCTGAGGAAGTCTTGGTCCAAGAGAATCTGCCTGCAACGCGCACTGAAACCTTCTTGGGCCCGAACCCTAAGCCCTAAACCCTAAACCCTAAGCCCTAAACCCTAAGCCCTAAACCCTAAACCCTAAGCCCCACGCCCTAAGCCCTAAACCCTACGCCCTAAACCCTAAACCCTAAACCCTAAGCCCTTAACCCTAAGCCCTAAACCCTAAGCCCTAAACCCTAAACCCTAAGCCCTAAACCCTAAGCCCTAAACCCTAAACCCTAAGCCCTAAACCCTAAACCCTAAAACCCTAAACCCTAAACCCTAAGCCCTAATCCCTAAAACCCTAAACCCTAAGCCCTAAGCCCTAAACCAAAAGCCAAGCCCTAAACCCTAAGCCCTAACCCTAATCCCCGCCCTAAGCCCTAAACCCCCCTAAAACCCTAAGCCCTAAACCCTAACGCCCTAAAAACCCTAAGCCCTACCCTAAGCCCTAAGCCCTAAGCCTAACCCTAACGCCCTAAACACCCTAAACCCTAAAACCCTAAACCCTAACCCAAGCCCTAAAGCCTAAACCCAAGCCCTAACCCTAAACCAACCCTAACCCTAAACCCTAACCCTAAGCCCTAAGCCCTAAACCCTAAACCCAAACCCTAATCCCTAAACCCTAAACCCTAAACCCTCTAACCCTAACCTAACCTAGCCCTAAGCCCTAAACCCTAAGCCCTAAACCCTAACCCTAAGCCCTAAGCACCTAAACCCTAACCCTAACCCTAAGCCTAACCTAACCCTAAGCCCTAAACCCTAAGCCCTAAACCTAACCCCTAACCCTAAACCTAACCCTAAACCCTAACCCTAAGCCCTAAAGCCCTAAACCTAAGCCCTAACCCTAAACCCTAACCCTAAGCCCTAAAACCCTAAGCCCTAAACCCTAACCCAAGCCCTAAACCCTAAGCCCTAGCCCTAAACCCTAAGCCCTAAACCCTAACCCTAAGCCCTAAACCTAAACCCTAACCCTAACCCTACCCTAGCCCTAAACCCTAAACCTAACCCTAAGCCCTAAACCCTAAGCCCCTAAACCCTAAGCCCTAAACCTCCCTAAACCCTAAACCCCTAAACCAACCCTAACCCTAAACCCTAAGCCCTAAACCCTAAGCCCTAAACCCTAAACCCTAAACCCTAAGCCCTAAACTTTAAGCCCTAAACCCTAAACCCTAAGCCCTAAACCCTAAGCCCTAAACCCTAAACCCTAAGCCCTAAGCCCTAAGCCCTAAACCCTCAGCCCTAAACCCTAAACCCTAAGCCCTAAACCCTAAACCCTAAGCCCTAAGCCCTAAGCCCTAAACCCTAAACCCTAAGCCCTAAACCCTAAGCCCTAAACCCTAAACCCTAAGCCCTAAGCCCTAAGCCCTAAACCCTACGCCCTAAGCCCTAAACCCCAGGCCCTAAGCCCGAAACCCCATGGATGAAGGCTCTAGGCCGGAATGCGGAAGCCGATGTCCTGCCTTAACTCCAAACCCTATTTGAAGCATCCTCGTGAGGGTTCTTAGGGGTTCCTGTAAAGGGATCTATAGGGGTTCCTTTAAAGGGATCCATAGGGATCTATAGGGCTCTTGAGCCATGCTTTATCCTGCTTCGCACCCGCCTTCAGCGATTCCCAAAAGCCTAGTAGTGAGTGGCACAAGGTTCTCATTAATATGGGGAGCTTTTTTGACCCTGATAGGTCCCTTTTTCACCCCCTAGAACCCTTCCATAAAATCCCAAGCCCTAGACTGAGCCGATTTTGTTTTGTTATCCGAAACCCTAAACCTCAAAGCCTAGCCTCATCCGATATCCTACTCTAAACCCAAAAGCCCACTTCAACCAGCATGTGGCCTGTACAGTGCAAGGAAGATGCCGAGGTTCAGAGCGGTGATGAACCTCCGGCAAGGGGTCTTGGGTTTTAGAGTGGCCTAAATGAATAGAATGGAAAAATCTAGGCCTGAGGCCTTCATAATAAGAACAAGGGTTCCCTGACCCCTAAGCCGTACCTAGACCCCCCAAAAAGTAAGTAAAATACTGGCCCAACCCTACAAAAGGCTATTTGTCACTTATCCACATATTTTGGAGGTCCATGTTCGTTCTGTTTTAACAACACTTCTTGGGCTGAGGGCTCTGATGACGGGGAACCTCCTACTGGCAAACCTCGCTCCAGTAGTAACCTTAGCAAGGATTATGATGGGAACCCCCCCACACAGCCCATTTTTAAGAGGGCCGAGGAGTCAACCACTAAACATTAAACCCTAAACCTAAACCCATCTACACTACCAATCTCTTAAGGCCACTCGTACCCGAGGCAGGACAAACCCAAATCCCAGGTTTGGTTCTTCGTTGAAACCGTGAAGAACCGCAAACAAACACATGACTTACATAGAAGCCTTAGAAACTACAGCATAGCGTGTGGGGGGTGTATGTTTCGATGATAACATACATACGGATCGAAAGGAAAGACGATTGTTACATGCTCAAGCCTCTAGAGTCTACGTCGAATCGTCAGCTGACGCATGGGCACCCAAACAAATCAAAAAACTCAAGCCCTCAACCTTAAGCCGCACATCCTCAACCCTAAACCCCTGGACACTCAACCCTGAACCCTAAACCCTCAAGCCCTATAGCCCTAAACCCTAAGCCCCCAAACCCCTGCAACCCCTAAAACCCTAAAACCCCTGAACCATCCTCAACCCCTGAACCTGAAGCATCCTTTTAAAAACGAATGCGACAGGAGGCTGTCCACCAACTTCACACATGAGGTTGCTGTGGACACGCCGTGAGACCACCCTGAGCCGGTAGGCGGTGTTTAGGGTTTAGGGTTTAGGGTTTGGGGTTTAGGGTTTAGGGTTTAGGGTTTAGGGTTTAGGGTTTAGGGCTTCGTTTAGGTTTAGGGTTCCTGCTACGGGCGCCTGCCATAGGGTCCCGTAGAGCATGCTCCTGGATATTCATGGTTGTCAAAATTATGGTCCCTTTTTGGGTCCCTATTATAATACGGCACCTGATATTTAGGGTGCCCCAAAACGGGACCATGATTTTGACAACCACCCGCATGCATCCCATGTAGTTTTGACCTGGAGCCGATGTGCCACGCAAGGAACATGTGGGTTTGCAAACACCCTGCGGTGCTCTGCCGCGTTCTACAAGCACCGCCAATGCCGCCGCCGCCGTGATGACGACAGCTATCATGACATCGCCATCATCGCCAGCTATCTTGCTGCTGCTTGATCGTTGCCGTCTTGCCGCCATCACCCAGCGGTGGTCGTGATCCCTCTCCTGCATCCTCGTAGCATTCCGAACCTACGTGCAGCAACCGTCTCGATCGTAACCTCCAACATCACCATGCCAAGAACAATCACCTGCCTAACCACCACACAATGCAACCGAGCGAAACGTAAAAACAAAATGAAGATACTTTCGGCCGGAGCGCCCGGCAGCAAGCTCGATCGCCTCCCACAGTTCGCACTTGTTGGGCTTTCACATTGGTGCAGTTTGTTCAGGATTTACGGTCCTTTTCCGGTCGGAGAGCTGGGAAGACCAACAGGGAAGTAGATACACAGCCCGATGAATTGAAAACTGTCATTTCGTCTGTCTTCTCTCCGTAGTACATCCTGCACAGCTCTGAAGGTACATAGGAAGAGGCTTGCAGCAGAGAGCCCCGATGTCACGGTATCAATTCTTGCTGGCTTACGAGCCGTGGCCGACGAAAGCAGGGCCCGAATAGTTCGCTTACGGTTTTGGTGTATATTTTACTCTAGTTAGAACGAGGATCCCCAAATTGTATTGGTAACTATTCAAGCCCCCAAATAGCATTGGTAACTATTGAAGCTCCTATATTGCTCCAACCTGTACACCTTAAGCCCCTGAGCGAGTCGAGACGGCTAAACCCTCAAACCAAAAAAAACGAGAAGACTTGAATCTTGAACCAAGACCCCAATGAAGGCATGATGGTGCTTTACAGCGGGTTGCTCAGGTTCCAACTAGTCGGGGAGTTGGGGGGCGTTGTCAAACCCCCAACCCTTGAGCCCGACACCCCAAGCACAAACCTCCAAAACCCATTTCAGGGGCAGGCCTGGCTGCTGTACAAGGCCCAGCTGTCGCAGCGGAAAATGCCCACCTCGGACGGACCAACTCGCCAACCTAAACTACGAAGCCAAACTCAACGAACCCCTACACTACACCCTTAAATCCTAAACCGTAAACTCCACACCAATGAGCCCAAAGCCCTAGGCCACAGACTCCGAGACCCTGAACCTAAAGCCGAAGCCACCTCCCGAAACCCTCAACCTCAAACCCAACGCCCGAAACCCTAAGCCCGAAACCCTAAGGGTCTCTTAGCTGGGAGCCTGGCCTCCATCTGGTACTGCATCAACTCAGTGAGTCGGAAGCTTGTCAGGGCTCGGGGCTCGGATTTGGGGCAATGACGTACAGGGCTTGGAGCGCGGAGTTTTGCAGGGCTAAACCCTAAACCCTAAACCCTAAAAATAACACTTGGACTTAGGGTTTAGGGCTGAGCGGTTGCAGGGTTTTCGGGCTTGGGGTTTTGCGGAGTGGCTGTTTTTGGAGTTTTGAGGTTTGCTATACCAAAACCCTGTCTCCCAGGTCGCGCGAGTATGGAGGAGTCGTGCCTTCCACGAGTACTGCAGCAAGGTTTGGCTTCGCCACCCATAGCTAGCTATCTATCTGTCTGTCTATCCATCTTTCTATGTGTGTGTGTGTGTGTACATGTGTGTGTGTGTGTATATGTATATATACATATGCAGAGGACCCCACGCTGAACACCTCCAGAGGTCTGCTCTCTTTCTACCGGATCCTCAAAAGTGGAGGTGCAAGGGAAGGATTGTGCCCGGACGGGATACTTCCAGGACCATGGGAGCTAGTAAGCAAGGTTATGGGTACCTTTAGTCGGGCTTTAAGTAACTATAGTTATAGTTGCCCTAATAATAATAACCCTGGCCACTAAGTCCCATGATCCTTCAATTATCAGGGCTGGATACCCCCTTGAAGTCTTCCCCGACGAATCTCGGAAACGCGCAACCCCGAGCCGGACCACCCCTGTATAGAACATCAGAAAGCCCTTAAGATCTCAGACAATTAAACCGATCTCAAACCCTTAAACCCTAAACCCCGAACCCTTGAAACCCAAGGCCCAAACCCGAAAACCTAAACCTCAAAGCCTCCAACCCGACATCCCTCAACCTGCTTGAGTCTCTTTTGAATTTCCCCCTGAGCCCGGGACGACCAACTCCTGCTCCGGCGTGTAAGGCAGGAAAAGCATCACGCAGTGCCTGGGTCTTAAGGGCTTTTTTGGTTTTGGAGTTTAAGAGTTGTTGTTTCAGGGTTTAGGGTTTCAGTGGATTTAAGTTTAAGCTTTCTGGGTTGAGGGGTTTCAGAATTTCAGGGTTCGATTCGGGGGCTTCACTGGCTTTTGCCAGGATACCTGACGCGATTCTGTCAAGGTTGCAACAAGGGGTCCTTCAAGGTGCCTAGCCCTGAACTCAGCCCCCCCATACATCTTAAGTCCATCCAGAGGCCCCAAAGTAGTTCCTTTTTGGGATTACCTCATAGGATTCTATACATGAACCCCAACAAGGAACAACTTTAAGGCCTTTGGGTAAAGCCCTAGGACCCCCTAAAAACCAGCAACCACGACGTGAAGCCTTCAACTGTCGAGCTCGAGCCCGAAGGGGCATTCACAGGTCTCTATGGATGAGTAGCACTCCTTGCAAACTATGGCCCTGGCCGGGGTTTAGCTTTTAGGGTTTAGGGCTTCGCATTTACGCTTCCGTTATCAGGAACTTTAAAAACCAAACAAGAGCAGAGTGGCATGGTGTCCGTTTTCTGACCCTCCACTTCCTCGTACGGGCAGCAGCCGATCTCTCCGGCATCATACCTGAGTTTGGGGCTTCCGCGCAAGGGTTGCAACGCCTTCGGACTTTAGGTGCTTCGGGCTTAAGTCTGGGTTGTGGGGCATAGGTATAAGCCTCCTTGAAGGATCGTGGGAAGGTTATAACGACCTAATTGGGGTTATAAGTAGTTATAAGTATAGTTACCCCAATTCGAACCCTAGTTACTAAGTCCCATGATCCTTTAAGTAGGCTTTTGGAAGGGTATATGGAAGCGAGGATAAGGGGGGAACTGGTGACTAACTTGTTCTATGTGACGCTACTCCCCTGCAAGATGTGCAAAACTTAGCTTTCGGGAGATCCCTAAAAAGATGCCATAATAACTCTAATCATACAAAACCCCAAGAGCCGCAAACAAGAAATTTCAACATGCCTGACACCCTAAACCCTAAACCCTGAAGCCCTAAACCCTCGATTCAAAACCTTAGAGTCTAAAACCCCAAATCCCTGAAACCTTAAAAACCCTAAACCCTAAACCCCTATATAGCACCCTATAGTACCGGGATCTAAAGTACCCTTTAAAGGACCCCTAAGAACTTTAAAGGACCGAAACCCTAAAACCCATGCGAGGCCCGTGGTTCGAGATTTCTTTCTGACACCTTTCTGCCGCCTTTAGCGGCCCGAAGACCTCTGGACCCCAATTAATATGGGAGGGGTGCCTTAATAGTTAATTAGACTATTTTCGGGATTTCCTTGTTATAAGTACAGTATAAGGCGCACCAAAACCCTATTGAAATTATCAAGGCTCGTATTTTAACCCCTAAAGACCCCTCCAAGCCCTTGCATTGAGGTTCCTCTGATGAGAGCCCTCCAAACCGGTGCGTCTGGTGTCCCGACGAAACTTGCCATAACCCTGTAACACTCAAGAAAGAACTGCATACCCCGAACCCACATGGATGGTTGTCAAAATTATGGTCCCCTTTTGGGTCCCTATCATAGTACGGCACCAATGATCTAGGGTACCCAAAACAGGGACCATAATTTTGACAACCACCCACATTGAGGTTTAGGGTCACCTCAAAACCCTGACACCCGGGTCCCGGACCCGCCGCACTCGTTGCCGGTGCGGATGGGGCTGAAGTCTTGTGGACAGGAATCTGCCACCTTCAGTAGTTTAGTGCTTGAGAGCTTTAGGGCTTTTAGGTTTGAGGGTTTTTAGGGCTTCAGGGCCTAGGGTATACAAGATGCTTTCAACACCCCCCCTTTGCATAGGCGTTATTGAAATTTTGCTGGGAGCGTTTAAGATGTCTGAGGCGTGAATTGGGTGTAGGGTTTGGCGGTTTCACTTCTTGGTGGGGCTTACGCGAAGTAAGCCTAATCTGCGCTTCCGCCGGGGGGCATTGCCGATCTCGGCAGGCGCGCAGCAACGCCTGGTTGCTTTCAGCGGATCAGGTGGGCTTTTGAAGGATTTGTAGTGGTCCTTAAGGGTGTTCAGTCGGGGCATTAAAGGGCTTCTTGGCCTTATGTTGAGGTGTCTGGTGAGTTTTACCCCAGTCTTCGCAGTTCTGCGACAGGTCCCGGGGTTTTTGTCTTGTGGGCTTAAGGTATGACTTCGTTGTCGAGTAGCTGCTTATAAGCCTCCGTAACTCAAGTGTTCGAAAACACAAACTCGAACCCTCAACCTTAAACCCTAAACCCGAAACAACAACCCTAAACCGCCAAACCGCTACAGGCCAGACCAAAGAAGAACCGTGATGCATGCGACCACTCGAGCCAAACACAGCACCCCAGAACCCAAATGCTGAACCCCCAAACCCCAATCTTGATTCCCTTCTCTTGGGGTTCGGGCTTCCACATCCCGGGAATTCGGACAAGTTGCATGTCTTCCCCGTGCCGGAGAACGCTCAGCGGCCAGGGCATGTGCCACATGTATCTGCAAGGAGCTTGGTTTCGGGGCTTAGGGCTTTGGGGGCTTTGGATTCTTGGCCGGAGTGAGAGAGCAGGGTTGGGAAACCTCTTAACAGAATGGTCCCAGCAAAGTCTGTATGAGAACTTGTAGTCAGGACATAGACAAACGAGTTTATGGTACTTTAAGACACAGCAAAACCCACACAACACCGTCACTCAAGGGCCCCATAGCATCCTAAACACCGAACACTGAACCCAAAGCCTCAAACATCCTTAGACCCTGAACCGCAAACCTTTAGCCTTAAAGATCCCTGAACCCAAACCTTGAGCCCTACCTTAAATCCTAGACCCTTAATATAGGGGCCTTAATGACTAGAATGGGGGTTTTGGAGCTAATAGGCCCATAGTGCTCTAAGTATAGCAGGGAACCCCAAAAAATAGCTCTTGTCATGATTTAGGCCCCTAGAGTACCTACCCTAAAGCCTATACGTAATAGATCCCTTATAGATCCCTTAAACCAGACCCCTCTTAGAACCAGAACAAAAATATATGTTAATATTCTCTTGGGTTTTAAATGACGAAAAATCAAAAAATAATTCCTAAGGGAAACTATAGCAAAGGAACCCTTAAGAATCCCAATACCCCCGTAGAATCCCTATAGATCCATCTAAAGGGACCCTTTAAAGGAACCCCTTACAGGATCCCCTTAAAAGTACCCCCTACATTACCCGACACCCGAAGGCCTCGCCATGTCGGAGCTGCAGGATTTCCTGGGCGGCCGAGGCTTGAAAGGAAGAGGAGACAAGTGAAATGCTTTGGGATTTAGGCTTTGGGTTTAGGGTCTAGGGTTTAAGGTTTAGGGTTTAGGGTCTAGGGTTTAGGGTTTGGGTCTAGGGTTTAAGGTTTAGGGTTTAGGGTCTAGGGTTTAGGGTTTGGGTCTAGGGTTTAAGGTTTAGGATTTAGGCTTTGAGTTTAGGGTTTAGGCGATATTCCCGTGTAAATACAATAAGGAACCATCAGGAATGCCATTGTCCTTCAGGCTTCGACAATACGGGAGTTTCCGAAAATGAGGGGTACCTTTTTGGGGGGTCCCTATAACAAGGATCCGACTATTTGGGGTACTAAAGGAGGGTCCCCTATTTTCGGAAACTCCCAATACTGAGGGATCCTGGCGACGGTCCCATTCTTCTCTGATACTCCTAAGCCCCAACCCCTTAACCCGAAATCCCTAGACCCCTCAACCCCTAAACCACGAAATCCCCAAGCCCCTAAATCCCCAAACCCAAAACCCCTAAATCCCTGAACCCTAAATCCCTGACCCCTTGACCCCGAGAAACGGCAAGCAGGGGATGATCCAAGTTGCAAGCGAAACCCCTGAAAACTGAATCCTAAACCCTAAAACACCCTAAGCCCTAAACCACCCTAAACCCTAAACCATCAGACCCCTAAACCCTAAACAATCCTAAACCACCCTAACCCTTAAACCCTAAAACCTCTAAACCCTCAACCTTAAACCATCCTAAACCACCCTAAACCCTAAACCCTTACACCGAAAATCCCCTTAAACCCCAAACCCTAAACCCTGACACCCAAAATCCCTCTCAACCCTAAACCCTGACACCCAAAATCCCACTAAACCCTAAACCCTGACACCCAAAATTCACCTAAACCCTAAACCCTAGAACCCTTACACCCAAAATCCCCCTAAACCCTAAACCCTAAACCCTGACACCCAGAATCCCCTTAAGAAACCCCCCTTTTCCCCGGGTCTGGGCTTGGGAGCGGACATGTCAAGCTGGCCGAGGCAATGTATCGGCTCCAGCTGGTTCCCCTGGCGAGTTTTTGGCTTAGGGCTTTCGGTTTAGGGTTTATAGGGTTTAGGGCTTAGGGTTTAGGGTTTTTGGTTTTGTTTAAAGTGCAGTAACCCTTTCTCCGAGCGCCATACGGGTCCAGGGCCCGCCTCAAAGGCATACACTACCATGCCAAGCATTGTACAGCTCAGCATGAAACATGCGGCCAAATGCTACACAAAGGTCAAAGTCTACAATTTTTTGGTTTAGGGTTTAGGGCTTTTGGTTTAAGGTTTTTGGTTTAGGGTTTAGGGTAGGATTTGGATTTGAGGTTCTGAGATTGGCGAGGGGGACCCTTCTGCATGAGCGATGGGGTTTGGGGGGTTTGCGGTAAATGGTTTAGAGGTTTAGGGGTTTAGGGGTTTAGGGCTCAGGGCCTTACGGTGGCTCTAAAGCCTTTATAGGCCAAGAACGGCTAACAGCTCTTTAGGCCCTGAGCCGGTTGGAGGCAAGCGGGAATGTTACGTTCGGGGCCTCCCAGCACAGTCAGTAAGGTTCAGAGTTCAGAGAACCTTTGCAACAGGAAAGCAATGAGCACCGCGAGTTCGTGCAGAAATTGTCACGAGAATTTCTCTGCAACTTCAGCCCAAAGCAGGTTTCACTTTGTAGATTTGCAAAGATATGTAGTCCCATGTGAAGCTTGCGCTTGCTCGAACATCTGCATTCGGGTCTACAGAACTTAGGACGAGCGGGCTTTTGCATTACTCTCGTTGGGTCCGAGGTCTAACATAGAAACCTGCGAAATCTTGCTAGGGTGCTAAGGGAATCTATGCTATGATCAAATAACAGACCTTGTCGCCATGGCATAAGTAGCTAGTCAGGGCCCTACAGTGCCACCCTTTAACCCCCAGCGAAATTTCGACAACCCTTGATTGCAAATGCTTGAAGAAACCTGACAGAACCCCCTTGTGGAACCCTGAAGCCGGAAGGAACCCCTGGCAGGAAATGGAACCAATTACAGTTACTATAGAGGCCTGTTTGGGGGTGGATGGGGGGCTTTTTTTCTCGGCGGATAACAGAGTCCACAGACGCATCCGATGCAATAAATTCGGTGAAACGAGGGAACCTACGCCACACGTTGCCGGCAGAAACTCCGCGTTGCTGCCCGAGGCGGTTCGGTAGTCCTGTGATGGATGTCATCACGGACCCAGGCTGAGAAAGCCGGGTTCGGTGGTGGCTGTGCAAGCAAGGTGAGCGGGGCTTCTTCGCCCAACGCTTGGAGCAACTCGGGGCGGGTAGGTTGAAAGGGCCCAAAGGCTTGCAACACTGGCTCATTGGCAGCAAAGGCCTGCCAACGTCCTGCACGCAAGCGCTTTTGGTGGGCGCGGTCGGCTTGCTCCACTGCCTTGACGGTTGCCATATCCATGGGCGGAATCAAGAGGTGCACACGCTCGAGGCACCGTGGCACACTCTTGAGATGGTTTGCAGCCGAAGCACGGAATGGAAGTGCTTTAGGCAGGCAAGGCACGTGGCATGTGGGGCGAACAGACGCTTGGGGGCAGGCAGCCCGTGGCGACGCGCAATGTGCACGCTCAGATGCTTTTTGAGAGGGAAGCTGACCTCGCAAAAGGGGCACCGGAAAGCGGCCTCTAGCGCAGGCTCGTCCGCAACGACCGTGGGCACCTGAGTGGCGTGGGCCGGCTCAACAGCAGGGGCCTGAACATTCTTGGCATGCCAACGGTTGAGGTCCTCGAAGTAGGCACGCGAGGCAGCACTGATCTGTCGGCGCCACCATGTGCGGTCCTGGAGCATTGCTTCGGTGAGGGCAATGAGTGGCTGTGGAGCCTGCAGAACCACTTGCACGGCAGGGCAGTACATCGCCACGTACTCAAGATCTCCGTGGAGCATGGCAAGCCAGGACTTGTCTGGTGCGGCCTCCCACTGCAGCCACCAAAGATGCAGCAGGGTCTGTGGGCCGTGCTCAAGCACTCGCAGGTAGAGGCTGGCCCGTGCCTTGGCGAGGGCCAGGGCGGAGCCAGGGCCTTCGAATGGTGGAGCACCTCGTAGGAGTGCAGTTTGCAAACCTCCGTGGTCTTCGGCTGCAGCGCCTTCCAGATGGAGGTGTACAGCCGTGCCCAGAGTCGCCACTGGTAAGCCACATGCAACTCCATGGTAGCGGAGCCGTAAGTAAACTTGGTGGCGACCAAGGAACCCAAAAGAGAGCGACGCAGAGCCAGCGGAATGCTCGGGTTGCCAAAGAGAGAACCGCGAAGGGGTCGCAGGGTCCAAGTACATTGGGAGTAACGGTAGTAGATCTCCGGCAGCAGAGAGGCGGTACACGTCACAACGCCCCCAAGGTGCTTGTACACCTGCACTGCGGGCAAGGACACCGCGCCTCCGGTGACGGCGTCGGTGACAGAGATCGCCCATTCGCTCCCATCCACTGTACTGGGCTGCAGTATGCTGTCGCCGGAGTGGAGAACGGCTGGAGGCAGTAAAGCAGCAGTTTTGTCAACGGCAAACGAGAGCTGCATGCCGATCGATGTCGCATGGGTAAGGAAGGCGGAGGTGGTCCGTTGTACCTTTTGCAAGACGAGGGAAGGCGTGGCATCAGCTAAGAGGGCAGCGAAATCGTCGGCCCATGAAGCAGGAGGCAAGTCACGCACAGTATCAAGTCCATCGACTGGCAATGCGACCCGGCATGGGGGCAACTCTGTGTGGATCCGCTGCTGTCGAAGCGCAGTCTGGACAGACTGGATATATGCGCTGAAACTCAGTGCAAAGAAAACATCTGCCAACGGATCACCGGGCCGAACGCCCGCAGACGTGGCCACGAGCTCAGCATGCTGATCGAGCCTAAACCAGGTGCCAGTGAAGAGTTCCTGGGTAAAGGAAGCCAGATGTGCCGATCCACCGCTCTCGGTTATACGATCTAGGCGGACGAGGTGTTCCTTGAGCTCATTGAGCGCGGCACCCGGGACCCCAAGCCGGTGGAACAAAGCACGCAGGACCGAGTCATCCGGCGTCGCATCGGTCAGGGTCTCACGAACCACTTGGTAGTACGCAGCCTTGACGTCGAAAAACAGGACCGCGGGCAGAGACCCGCTAGTCTGCACATGCGCTTGGAAACACCTGACCGCGAGCGCGATCGAATCCACCCCGACTCCGGGGCGGACACCGCCCATAAGGTCGTGTCCGCCCTGTGCCAGCAAAGGAGCAACCCGGCGCCGGATGCATTTGTGCAGCAGCTTGCCAGGAACACTTGAAAGCAGGATGCTCCTGTATTTCTCACAAGAGAAAGCGGCAGACACCCGTTTCGCCAGGGTGATGAGGGCTCCGCCTTTAAACTCGGTAGGCTCGCGGAGGGTCAACACACTTTTCGTGAAAAGTGGGAGCAGCTGTCTGGCAGCAGCCGGCGCATCGAGCTTGAGTAACTCAGAGGTGACCCCGTCAGGGCCGGCAGCCTTGCCGCGCTTCAAGGCAAGAACGGAGACCTCCAATTCTGCCAGGGAAGGGAGCATGCGGCGATCGAAGGGTATCACCTGTCGGGGCCGGCACTGGTCTCGCTGCTCAAGATGCTCGGAGTATAGGCAGCCGGAGTGATCTCGTGCCCACACTCTTGCAGTGCAAAGTGCCGACGCCATCGCGCAGCACGTTCTGTGCTCGTGACGGCCAGCGCTCCCGACTCAAGGGTGACTGCAGGAAGAGGCGTGTAACGGGTGCGCTTTGATAGAGGTGTCTGGGGTCTCTCAGGTCCGATTGGCCGACCTCATTAACAAGCTGCTGCAGGTAAGCACATCGATCAGCCTTGACAGCCTGGCGCAAGTGCACGCACAAATGTCCGAGTCGCGACCAGGTGTGGGCAATGGCACGATCTGCCTGACGCAACCATCTCCAAGTGGCCCCACGGGCAGGGGCTGCAAGGCAGGAACGGTGGCGCACATGCGTGAAAGCAGCGAACCCCAGCACAAGACGCCTGCGGTCAAGCTCAGCTTCTGCCTCATGAAGCGCTTGACGGGTATCCTTGCGCTCTCGGATGAGGGCGAGTGTGTGCTCAGTAAGGAAGCTCTGCTGGGGGCGTGCGGTCGGCCGCGCCCGAACGCGCTGGCCTGCGGTGGTCCAGGTGTCAACGAAGGCCCGGTAATGCTCATCAACATCCACGGTCCAATCGACAGCAGGAGAGGCCCCAAGAGCCTGCCGGAAGTGCTGAATGTCCAAGGCAGAGTCCAAGTCGTTAGGCCGACAGGCAACACGACGGAAGGATTGACTCGCCTGCGGTCCAACAACAACCTTAGCAAAGGAGCACGCAAGGACGACCGGCACATGGTCACATCTGCATTGAAGGGCCTCGATGTCATACCAGACATGCGTATTGCAGGCGAAGGCAGTCCAAGCAAGCGGGATCCCGACGTAGTCGATCCGGTGCTGATCGCCATGCGGAGACTGCCATGTCCACGACCGGCCAGCATGCCGGTGCTGAAAGGTGGCCGGAAGCCAGAGGCCGTTGCGGAGGAGAAAGTCATGGAAGCGGGACGCAGCCGGGGTCTCACTTTCGCCATCTTTTGCCATCGTGAGGACCGACGGCTTCGCTTTCGAGGCTTCCCAGGCGAGCGTTGGCATCCGCCAACAAGAGGACTGGGGTGCCTGCCGGCAGCCTCTGGAGCTCAGCAGCACGGGCAGCCCAAAATTCGCGCAGAATGGCTTTGGTGTCGTTGGGGTCGGAGGGAGCGTGCACCACGAGCACACCTAGGCGAAGGTGGGGGCTTCGAGATGTCCCAGGAGATGTCTGGGTATCAGGTGGCGCCTCCCATGGATGCGGAGCCCGGCGTTGGCTGGCTGACGCCGGTGCGCGTTGGGATTATCCAGGAGAGTCAACACATTGTAGGAGAGAACGCGACAGTAGCGCACTTCCCGGGGCTGTGCAGAGACATGGGCGGTGACACCGAAGCTTGGTGCCGGTCGGGCCGGCCAATAAGTCTTTTGGAGACGGTGTGCCTCAGCTTCCATTGCATAAAGCGTGGGCATGTCGGCAGGGGTGACT